CCCACCTCAGGTCATGTTGGTGCGCTCGATTGCAGAGCCCAACCGTCAGCGTCCAACCTTTTGGATGCAGAACCCTTCCCGATGCACAGCTCAATCTCCATCCCGACCAAAAGCGTAGGAACAACAATCTCTTTCTGTGCGCGTGTGTATGCGTGCGTGTCACAGAGAGAGAGAGAGGATGGTGCGTTTGTGTGTGTGTGTGTGTGCCTGACTGTGGAAGACTGTTTCGTCGGACTTTCACGGACTCATCAGGAGGTAGAACCTCAACAATCTGTGTGCCAAACAAAAACTCACATATGTACTATTCAACTTTCCGTGGAAAAGTAGGTGCGCGTGCGCACGCGTGTGTGTGGGTGGGTGAGCCTGTGTAGAACGCGTAGAGTAGCGCAGAACAGCGCAGAGTCCAGTCGACAACGTCTTCGAGTAGTTTAGTGTGTCTGTAGCTTAATGTCGAGAGGCCGGGGCAGTGCAAACGCTACAGTTGCTTACTAAATGTTCCACACGTGCACTGGCCCGGTACAGTTCGCGGGACCGGCGCTGGCCCTGTAGGCACGCAGGCATGCTAATGCGCGATGCCGGGGTAGGCACGAGGGCATGCTAATGCGCGATGCCCGGGTAGGCACGTGGGCATGCTAATGCGCGATGCCGGGGTAGGCACACGGGCCCGGTACAGCGCGTGGTACTGGCACAGGCGTGGCACGCGGGAGCGTTACCGGCCCTGGTGCGGTGCCGCAACGGTTCAACTTCTAAGACAAAACGATCAGCAGACGATCGGGACCGTCGTGCAACAAAAGATCGGAGTGCCCCAATCGTCTGCTTGTCACAGGGAGGAAATTAGTGATAGTTATATATGTAGTGATGGCCCAGGAGGACTACCACATGGGGTAGGCAGTGGTCAAGCAGCATATATGTAGTGATGGCCCAGGAGGACTACCACATGGGGTAGGCAGTGGTCAAGCAGCATATATGTAGTGATGGCCCAGGAGGACTACCACATATGGTCTGCACCTTTCCCTCAGAAAGTATCTGCATTGACAGAGAGAGCGATAAACTTCGGTCCTTCCTCTTCTTCTTCCTCCTCCCCGACCCGCACCTCCCTCCCTCTCAGACGTCAGAGGGGGAGAGAGAGGGGGATACAGAGAGAAAGAGAGAGAGAGATCAGAGCCCTTGCAACTATAGGGCATGTCAGCTGGCCGTAGCCGGACTTCCACTCTATGACCTGCCGCAGCTCAAGTCTGCACCTTTCCCTCAGAAAGTATCTGCATTGACAGAGAGAGAGCAATAAACTTTGGTCCTTCCTCTTCTTCTTCCTCCTCCCTGACCTGCACCTCCCTCCCTCTCAGACTTCAGAGAGAGAGAGAGAGAGAGAGAGAGAGAGAGAGAGAGAGAGAGAGAGAGAGAGAGAGAGAGATCAGAGCCCTTGCAACTATCATCATTTGCAAGACATTTTCCTGGTTCAGACTTCGACATTTTGCCGGGAGGCGATTGTTGGAGGAGCTTGAGTGGAGGAGAGATTTATCATTTCGGGTTGTTACATCTTGGGCCCTCCCTTCTTTCTTTTCTTCACGATAATCATGTGTCAGGAAGGAGAGGTCTTTCTTTCCTTTACAACCCTTTACAAGAGTTGAATTCATTGATTCCAGGCTACCACTGCATTCCATTGTCTTGTTATCTTCACCTTCATGATTCTTGGCTCTGTGCCATGGCACGTCTGCAGGAGATGACAGTATGAATGTCCAAATCCAAATCTGCTGCCCCTGAGGAGAATTCAAGTATCAGTGTCTTAGAGACACAAGCGCCGTCTTCCCCTTCCCCCCCCCTCCTCCCTCACACACACACACACACAACAAGACCCCAGAAATCTGTTAATGCTTGCGAGAATGGATAGCATCAGTCTGGTCTCGGACACCATCTGCCTTAATCTGGAGTCCCTACGGGTTAGACTCCACATCACTTAGTGTCAAGTCGCCTATGCCACTTTCTATTTACCGTGAAACTCTGTAAATCTGGTAGAAACCACCCACTCCAATAGATCCATCTCCTTACGACTGCCTGGTGTTATTTCATTTGAGCTATCTCCTCTTTGTCTGCCTCATGGTATTTAATTTGACCTCCTCAACACATTGCCTATGAGGTTGAGTCCCTCCTTGCCCATTTTGCCGGTCTGTCACCCTGAGATGGAGCGCCTGAGGTTACACAAAGACTCACCTTTGCTGACTTGGTTGCTTGCCTTCAACATTGACAGATCTTTGATTTCACCAAATCTTGAAAACAAGTTGCGGATATCACTTTCCGTAACATGTCGAGGAAGCATTCCGATGAACAGCTTGTGTTCTGAAAAAAGCACAGACCAAAAGAACCGTGGACCCCATGTCAGCAGCTAAACCCACAAGTACACATACATCATACGCATGAGGATCCAAGTCCCACAAAAAAGGTCCCCAAAGTTGCACCTCGTTCCCATTAAACCCACCAGTTTACATTGAAACCTGTGTTTTCCCCAGTGCAGAATTTTGCCGCACGCCAAGTCATGCTGAACCAGCACAGAGCATGATTTTGCCTAGTGATGCCAGTCTTTTCCATGTCAACTGCCTTGTCGGAACAAAATAGCGTAGTGGTGGGTACTAGACCCCACAATGTTGCGCTGTGATGCAAATACCAAAACACGAAAACCTTCCGGCTTGTTGTCCACATTCTGCTTTGTTATCTCTCCCCTTATTGTTAAACCACAAGTAGACCACCACCCAGCCAAACTTTGGAGGCAAAAACGAGTGATTCCAGAAAGTTCGCCCCACAGCAGCCCTGGGCTTAGGCGGAAAACGTCTTGGCCCCACACATCAGGGTTGGCACTCGCGTCACAAGGGAACAAAGGAAAATTTATGCCCACCCCCAGACCCAGCCTGGGGAGAGTCCCCTGAGTTTTTAGAATGACTCATTTCAGTTCGGAAAAAAGAGGCTCCGATGTACTCGTGGTTTAAGCTCCACAGGGAGCAGTACGAGCGTGCACCGAAGGGTGCAGCTCAAGTTACCCAGAAGGTATTCATACTGAGTACAATCCAGGCAAAGTTCTCCGATAGCTGAAGTCTTCCATCGATTACAGAACAAGACCAGGAACATCAGCACCGTCACATATTGCCCCCTCAGGCAGCCGCAGGATCCTTAGACAAACGGCCATGCCTTATCTTCGGGGGAAGATAGTAGCTCAGTTCACAAGAAGCCCTTTGCAGGCCAGCCACTAAACATATTCAAGAGATTATCAGGGGCTTCATTACGCAATCAGACTTGTCTTTCTCGACACTCAACATCCATGCAAAAAGATGACAATCAAGCTGGGGACTTGCGGCCACACAAAGCTCAGAGATAACGAAGCCAAGAACGCAGTTCAGAGTCAACTTGTCTTGATTGGCTATGGCTGATCGCTGTACTCTGAGCAAGTTGTTCGTACACACACCCTGGATCTCCCTGGATGTCCCGCACTCATACACACACATCATACATACACACACACTAACCACCTACTCACTCTCTGGTGTGGCAGCTATGGCCATCGTCTTCCTCCTCCCTACTAACAAGGTCAGCTATAGCCGACTTCCTCTTAGCCCACTTCTCCGTCGGGCACCTGCAGACCTTCGTACACAAGACACTCCGACAGCGCTTTCCCACGCCTCACAGGCAGAATGAATGAATGACTTGATGCTGCCTCTTGATCGAAGGTCTGCCCTTGGACCCTGGGCCCGGGGTGAACACAGTCCCACATGGTACTTGCAGACATGACACGGTGCGACCAGGACTGGTTACCACTGACTGGGCTGAGATAGACTGCCCACTTGCCCACTTGCCTACGGACTGCTAGCTAGGACTCACTAAGGGGCAGAGTAGACTCATCTAGAAAGTCCTAGTCTACCCTACATGACCCTTCGGCACTGTAGCAGCTACGACCGGACCTACTCTAAGAATACTACTCTACAGGTTAACAGATCGAGACCCCGTCACCTACATATGTACAATAGCCTCAAACAGACGGCTTTCAGGGACAGGTCGCGGGTCAACATATACTGTACATGGGTAGCAGGGAGGTCTAGGGATCAAGCCCTGACTGCTGCAACCTGCCGTGCCACAGGTGAAACCGTTTCAATTACATTGCACTAGACTTATCTGCTACATTGCACTCTACTTATCTGCTCTCCTGCCCAAAAAGAAGAAGAAGAAAAAGAAGTTTACAAAATAGTCGTTTACAGAGAAGAAGTAAGCAGAACAATGGTTTAAAGACATATAGACAACCTGCCAGGGGAACCACTCCTTTTCACCCAATTTGAGACATAGCCATTGAAGCTGTATATATGAGAAGAAAATTTGCCAGAGATACCGGTGTTATAACTTAAAACCATGCCTTACATATGTGTTTTGGGTGGCCCAGGGTGAGGGAGGGGAGGGTAGTGTTCTGCAATCAACGAGGTATGAATACAGGGGTTCCAAACGAGACGAGTACCGAACGAGGCTATTCCTCGATCCTACCTAATCTCTCGAGCTCTCCATCGGCATACTTCACTTGCATCGGATTGACCATCTGCAAAATGGCATGTGTCCACAAACCACATCCCACAAGTCAATTGCTTAGCCAAGATCACATGGAAACCGTCCTGCCGACCACCTCTGACAATCCCTTCGCAAACCACAAAAGCCTGCCATTTTCACTGGCTACAACGTTCCCCTGGAACTACCGTCTTCCCCAGAAGAGAATGCAACCTCACGGTAACGGAATCCGCCTCGAAAGATAGTTTGTACACATTCATGACCAGACCGTGTCACGTAGGGAAAGACGGGCTTCCACACGACAGACAGCTTGTATACATATATGATAACCAGGGCGCTTCAGGTTCAGGGGGAGGTTGCAATGTTTTACTTCACGTTCCCGAGGTCATTCTTTCAGTTTTGTTTTTTCTTTTGCCCAATGCTAAAAGTTATTTTTACAGGGAATAAATGTTGGCAGTTAGAGAACAGAAAACTCTTCAAACCACCAATACGGTTGCCAGCCATTTTTCTTCATGTGGAGCGCATGCAGCTGCGAAGGTTTCAGGGGTCGGCCTACTAGAGCAAAATGGCTAGCAGCACCAGCCAAAAGCCGGCCGGGCACCGGCTGTCTTTTTCTTTGGCGTGCAGGGCTCAAAGGTACAGGTTGTTCAAAGCAAAGAACAAGAGACACACCCTCTCCCCTGTCCCTTCCGCCGTTAACTTATATGGTGTCGGAATATTCCATCTCGATGGTTTCAAACACCAACCACAACAGCTCTACTCCAACAGAGACGTAGACGGGATATGGGAGACCATGAAAAAAATATTCATTGGAAAACAACAAACAGGGCGGACAGGCGGGCATGTGGATATCGACTCCGTATCCACCTGATGACGCTCCATACCGAACCTACATCCCAGGTTCAGTACTAACTTGTCTTCGAGATGGACCCTGCACCTCCTACAGGTTCAGAGTACACCATTCCGAGCGCACCACCACACCTCCAAGATTGGATGTGGTCTCTCAAGGTTGAATGTGGCCCCTCAAGGTTGGATTGGAGTGGTGGTTCCTTCATCACTACTGTCTTCCCCCGCACATAACGCACCCTGAAAACGAACATCTACAGTCAAAATGAGGGTGTGTTGGGCCTCGGGGGAAGAAGGTAGCTCCTAAAAAATCAGGTCAATCACACCTCCTCAACAAGCGCACAGAAGAAAAATTATGGGGGTCCGATCTCCAATACGTCCTCCTGAGAGGCACCATGCCACCTAGGAATCTGAGTGGACGTAAAAGATAGTAGCCGTTTAAACCACCTGTTTCACCGGAGGAGTTTTGGAACAACTACCCCAGGAATTGGAATAACACGCAGTGAACTTGGAATACAGCCTCCCTCTCTCATTCTCTCCTTGGTTAGCTTGAACACCTCACAGCTCAATTCGCAGCAGTAGTGAAGCGTCGGGGAAGGCGAAAGGAAACACATTCCAGCCACCCACTGCCAAAATGTGGAGTATAGATACTCTTATATCTTATGATTGTTGGATTGTTTCCATCTAGCCATTGAAAACACCACATCACAAGCACAACGATATTGGGTTCACATAAGAGAGCCCTCTTATATCTGACAAGGTTACCTGCTGCTGCTTCGCAGGCAAAAAAGTGAAGGGAAAATGGTGCAAATGAGAGTGGGTAGTGGTTTGTTCGTGGGGTGTGGGTTTGCTTGGGGTCGGGGTGGTTTTCAGGCTCACATGTGCATTGCTGTTGACACTGCCCATGCAATGCTCCTGCCGCTTTGTAAGCCTTGGATAGATGTTTTTTTTCTTTTTTTTCCTGCTTTTTTCTCCTGTCAAACACCTGATCACCGTTGCTGGGTTGGTGGTTGCCCGGATTTGAACACACCTGTTGTGTTTGTGTCGCACTTTGCATACCTGTCTCCCGCTAACCAAAAATATTCTTTCTCAGATGTCAGGAGATACACAATTCTGCGATCATGTGGGGGGAAGGGGGCAGGACGCGCAATTAGATTTTTGAGACCTGATCTCTCCTGGGGGTAGTTAGTTTGATTGGAGGGGGCAGGTCGTCATAAAATCCTACGGGAGAGTAGCGAAGTCGAGCGTTGTAGAGCTCTCTCTCTCTCTCTCTCACACACACACACACACACACACACACGCTCGTAGTTCGACGTGAACAACAAAAAACGAAAACAGCAGACATCAATAACAAAGTGGAGTTAACTCACCGTCAGTCATGATACTGTGGTCGTCTGAAAGCCTCCATGAAATTCACTTGTCAGCGTCCACCCTTCAGGATGTGGAGCCCAACCTCAGGCAAAGTAAAAATTGTAGTGTGTGTTTAGTCTGGGCGTGTTTGTGTATGTGTGTGAGGAAAAAAGTGTAGCGTGTGTTCAGTCTGGGTACGTTTGTGTGTGTGTGTGTGTGTGTGTGTGTGTTGTCATTTTCGCTATACGCAACTCCATTAAAAAGCATGATTAAGCCAGGCTGTTTCGTCGGACTTCCACCGGACTTCCACCGGCTCATCAGGAGGTTGAACCCCGACTGTGTGTGTGTGTGTATCCACATGCCAAGTCCAAGTGGAGCGTGGTAGTGTAGGGTAGTAAGGTCGAAGTCGAGCATAGTAGCATAGGATAGGAAAGTAGAAGTCTATAGTTACACAGAGTAGAGTAGCATAGGGTTGGGTATTTCCCATGCCATAGGATTTGAGCATGCCATCACCACGAAGGTAAGCGCCCCCACCCATAAACAGTATACGCCCCGCCACCAAAAAGTAGTTACATCACGGGCAGCCTACGGGAACCGGTTTGCCCCAAAACAAAACCCTACTGGTAGGTACCACGCCAAGAAACCGTACAGGTACTGCAGCCCTCTCCAACAGGCAAATGATGTGGGCCATCGGGCCCAAGGCACAGGGCCATCGGGCTGGATTGATCCGCAATCCTAAGATCTTGAGATCGCGCACTAATACAGCCCGTCGATCAGGTAGGACCCGACGGCCTGGATTTCAGGTTTATTACATGTTTCCCATGATCCAAGCCGTGGGCCGGTAGGACCGAAGATGGCCTGGGTGCCCCAAAACAAAACCCTACTGGTAGGTACCACGCCAAGAAACCGTACAGGTACTCCAACAGGCAAATGATCTGGGCCATCGGGCCCGAGGTACAGGGCCAACGGCCTGGATTGATCCGCAATCCTAAGATCTTGAGATCGCGCACCGATATGGCCCGTCAATCAGGTAGGACCCGACGGCCTGGATTTCAGGTTTATTACATGTTTCCGATGATCCAAGCAGTGGGCCGGTAGGACCGAAGATGGCCTGGGTCAGAGATTGGTTCCCTTAAGTGATTGTCTCGATCTAGCCGTTGAAAACACCAGATCACAAGCACAATGACATCAGGGGTTACATTAAGAGAGCCATGTTCCATGGTGATTGGCAATGCCATGTTCAACAACACAGTTTTCAATGCCACAAAGTCGAGAGCAAAGGAGTTCCGTTGCAGACTAGGAAATCCCTTCTGTGCCCGCCACGGTGCAGACTACCGTCTTCACCCGAATAGAACATCTAGTAATTATCACCGTATCTGGACTTAAAGTTGCACCAAATACAGCTATAATGACCGGGCGTCGTATTCGGGTGAAGACGGTAGGAAATCTCTTCTGGGCTTTGGCAAGCCCATTTTCAACAACAGAGTTTTCGATGCAATGAAGTCGAGAGCAAAGGAATTCCTTCTGGGCCAGCCGTGGTGCAGACCAGGACAAACCCTCTGTGCTCGCCACGGTGCGGACTTGGAAATCCTTTCTGGGCCCGCGCTTCAACCTCATGAAATACCAGTGAGGGGCTCTAAGCAGGACATCTGTTCCCTGTGCCTGCACACCCTCATCGAAAGCAACACACCCTGTTAGAGGAACCGGGTGACAGGACAAAAAGGCGGGAAGCACGCAGGACTGTAGCCTGTTGGGTAACACAGAGTGGCAGCTCAGTCCTCCACCAACAGTGAATCCACGAAAGAATCATTTGGTCAAATGTGTCTGTTGGGTAGCGCACAGTCGCATATCCAAACTGCCACTACCTTCCCTACTGCCACTCTTGGTAACCAATTCCTACCACTATTCAGGAACCAGGACACGAGATAGATGACCTCAACACTTGATACTTGGCCCCTCAGAGCAATTCGCCGTCTTTCTATATCTTTGTGACGGTTTTGGGTGGGGTAGCGCTGAGAAACTAACCCCCCAGGGATGACTTTTGTGGGTCATCACTTGTCCAGAGAGGCAGGCTGCTGCGTTCCACAGCGGTTGTTCGAAGGAAAGGCAGTTCACCAGCCGATCAGTTGACTCGGGTTCGAACCCAACTTGTTGAGAGTTGCCCAGATGAGTGCCAGAAAATGGGGAGTACACTGCCTTCCCTTTCAAATTTGCTGACGTATCGGCTATCGGCTAGGCCAGTTTTCAAAAGCGCACTGTGGACAGGTAATTGAGTTGACGACAACGACAACAAGAATCGATGAGCAGTCAATATCAACCGCCATAGACTTTTGAGATGAGTGACAACCATTTCCTCATTCGTGGGCAAGAAGAGAACGAGACTGTGGAACAGAACGTGGAGAACAACAAGTAACAGATTCCCTCAAGCTACAATGCTTGCAATTGGTAGGGGAAAGGACAAGAGGGAGAGAGACGGACAGCAAGAAACAAGACAAACAAAGACACACACTAAACCTCACCAACAAGTGACATGTTCCCTCAAGCTGCAATGCGTGCAATTGGTAGGGGAAAGAACAGGAAGGAGAGGGACACAAGCGGTTAACAGGGACCCCCACTTTTCAGCCCCAAGTTAACACCCCCAGCACTGAAAAGTGCATTTGGATTTTTTTATTTATTTTTTGCCCTGTTTTATTTTTGGTCAAGGTCTGCCTGTGCGAAGTTCGGTGTTTGTTGGGGTCTTGGAGACTACTATTTCGGCCAGCCCTGAATATCCTGAAAATTCCTGAAAATTGAAAAGAGCGAATTTTGCATGAAAACAAACTTTGGCCTTGGGGTTTA